TAGGTCTGACAAAGGCCTAACATTTAGGATCTACAAGGAACTCAAACACGCTGAAAAGAAAAGAAAGAAACAACCCCATTGCAAAGTGGGCAAAAGATATGAATAGATACTTCTCAAAAGAAGACATATGAGCAGTCAACAGATACGTGAAAAAAAATGCTCAGCCTCACTAGTCATCAAAGAAATGCTGAGATACGACACTGAGATACCACCTAACTCCAGTCAGGATGGTCAACTTAAAAAACAACAGATGCTGGGAGGATGCAGTGAAAAGGGAACACTTTTACGCAGTTGGTGGGAGTGTAAACTAATGCAACTTCTGTGGAAAAAAGTTTGGTGATTCCTAAAAGATCGAAAAATTAACTTTTCATATGATTCTGCTATCCCCCTACTGGGAATATACCTGGAGGAACTCAAATCACTCTATGGAAAAGCTACCTGCACATATATGTTTATTGCAGCATTGTTCACAAAAGCAAAAACATGGAGCCAACTGTGCTGCTCATCGAAAGAGTACTAGATTTTTTAAAAAGTGGTATATATACACGATAGAATATTACACAGCCTTAAAGGAGGACAAAATTATGAACTTCACAGCAACCTGGATGGACTCAGAATTTATAATACTGAGTGACCTATCACAGAAACAAAGAACTGAGTATTACATGTTCTCACTTATAAGCAGACCTTGGACAATTACCATAATTCTATAAGAAAAAGGATTGGCAGTAGTGGGAATCTGCTGGGGGTGAGGAAGCGGTGAAGTGGTGGGATTGGCAGTAGCAGGAAACTGCCAGGGGAGAAGCGATTGCACCTCATCAACAAAGGTACCTGGATAATGAACAGTTGTATACCTAACCCTGAATTGTATCCCACATCATTAAAATTAATAATAATTATGATGATAATTTGATAATATTCAACAATTAGATGCTAACTTATAGAAAATTAGAAATAGAAGGAAAAGTGTTAAGTTGATAAAGTATACCTGCTAGAGACCTACAACAAAAGTATGCCCATTAAGGAAAATATATCCATTTTTTGACATATGTTTCTTCTATCAACAGTGTTCAATAGGTCCTAGTCAATACAGTAAGAAAAGATATAAGTACAGTAAAAAATGAAAAAGTAGAACACTAGAACCACTACCATTATTATATGTATCATAGATCATTCTCTAACTTGAAAATACAAGATTATAAACAAGAAAAATAAGTTAACAAATATGGGGAATCATAATCAGTATATTCAGTCAAGAGAGATTTTTAAAAATTGAAAATAAGAGAATGTTTTAGATGGAAAGGCTCCATATGCTGAAGATATTGATTTAAGTTTTCTATAAATGTAAGGCAATTTTAATATAAATTATACACTATGATGAAGTGAAATTCATCACAAGAATGCAAGATTGGTTTAACATCCAGCAACTAATTGATACACAACATAAACAAAATTAAAAGTAAAAACCATATGATCATCTCAATTGATGCATAAAAAGTTTGACAAAATCCAACACCCTTTCATGATAAAACACTCAAAAGTCTGGAAACAGAAAAGATTTTCCTCAACCTGATAAAGGACATCTATGAAAAACCCACAGATAACAGCATACTTAATAATGTAAGACTGAATGTTTCTCCCTAAGATCAGGAACAAGACAAGAATATCCACACTTGCCGCCACTTTTCAGTATTGTTCTGTAGGTTCTAGAAAGGAAAATTGTGCAAGTAAAGAACTAAAACATATCCAGATTAGAAAGGAGGAAGTACAACTATCTGTAAGTGTAGATGACATGGTCCTGTATACAAAAAAACCTCAAGTGATCCACTAAGAAACTATTGGAACTAATAAATGAGCTCATCAACATTGCAGAATACATGATCAATGTACAAAACCAATGTTGTTTGTATACATTTTCAATGAAAAATCAGAAAATAAAATTTAAAAAACAATTCCATTTATAATAACATTCAAAATAAAATACTTAGGAATAAATTGATCAAAATAAGAGCAACATTTATTCTTGTAAAAACACAAAACACTGTTGAAAAAATTAAGAAGACATAAGTAAATGAAAAAACTCCATGTTCATGTAGTGAAACACTTAATTGCATTCCAATTGTTAAGGTGACAATACTCCAAATTGACATATAAATTCAACAAAATATCTATCAAAATCCCATCTCACTTCTTAGTTGAAATTAACAAGATAATTCTAAAATGTATATGGAATTGCAAGGGACCCAAAAAAGCTAAAACAATCTTGGAAAAGAAGAACAAAGTTGAAAGACACACACTTCCTAATTCCAAAACTTACTATAAGACCACAGCAATCAAGAAAGTGTAGCACTGGCATATGAGGGGCATATAAATGAATGAAACAGAATTGAAAGACCAGAAATAAAACCACATGTTTATGCTCAACTGATTTGCTAAGAAAATGTGATAGCTACATTGAAAAGAATGAAGTTGGACCTTTATCTCATATTCCATAAAAAAATTAACTCAGCACAGATCAAAGACCTAAATGTAAAAGCTAAAACCACACAACTCTTAGAAGAAAATATTCGGGTAACTTGTCATGATTTCTAATTTGGTAAAGGACTATTAGATATGAAACCAACAACATTAGTTGCAAAAGAAAATATAAACTGGATTTCATCCCAATTAAAACTTTTTGAACTTCCAAAGATACTATCAAGAAATTGAAAAAAATGAGAGAAAATATTGGCAAATCACTTTTTATTTTTGCAAATCACTTGTAATATAAGAATTAAATCTAGGATATATAATTATATTGATTAACAACTCAATAATAAAAAGACAAAGAATTTCAGTTAAAAAGCAGTCAATGGATCTGCATAGACATCTCTCCTAAGAAAACACACAAATGGCCAATAAGCAGATGAAAAGGATGATCAACATCATTAGCACTAAGAAGTGTGAATCAAAATCACACTGAGATAGCAGTTTATACCTGCTGCCATGGTGATAATTTAAAAAGTCAGATAATAAGAAGTGTTAGGGACAATGTGGAGGAATCAGAGCCTTTGTGCACAGTTGTTGAGGATGACACATGGCACGAGTGCCATGGAGACAGTTTGGCAGTTCCTCAAAGTGAAACACAGAATTACTAGATGGCTCAGCAGTCCCACTCCCAAGTAGATACTCAAAACAATGAGAAACAGACATTCAAACAAAAAAACTGTATAGGAATGTTCACAGCAGCACCATTCACAATAACCAAAACAAAAAAAACAACACAGAGGTCTATCAACTGGTGAATGCATTTTTTAAAAATGTGGTATGTATATTCATAAAATGAAATATTATTTGGTCATAAAATGGAATAAAGTACTGAAAAATGCGAAAATATAAATAAATTTCTAAAACATTATGATAGGTAAAAGAAGTCAGACACAAAAGGTCACATATTCCTTGATTCTTTTTATATGAAGTGTCTAGAACTGGTAAACTCATAGGAAAGAAAGTAAATTAATGGTTGCTTTAGACTGGGAGGTCATAGGGGAATGAGGATAGAAGGAGGTGAGAAACTGAGGAGACAATAGCTAAAAAGGTATGGAACTTCTTTATAAGGTAATAGAAATGTTCTAACATTGACTGGTGATAGTTGTACATATCTATGAATATACTAAAAACACGGAATTGAACAATTTAAATGGATGTACAATATATAATTACATCTCAATAAAACTATCTGAAAAAAGATAAAAAATAAAAGGACTAATCAGTAAGTGCTTCTTGTACCCCTAATAAAAGTTCAATGTCAGTCCACATTATATCTTTATATTTTTATATTCTTAAAACTAGTCATGGTAAAGGCCAGGCTCGGTGGCTCAGCCTATAATCCCAGCACTTTGGAAGGCCAAGGCGAATGAATAGCCCAAGCCTGCAGGTTCAAGATCAGCCCGGACAACTTGGTGAGACCTCGTTTCTACAAAAAATAAAAAAAATTAGCTGGGTGCGGTAGCACATGCCTATAGTTCCGGCTTCTTGGAAGGCTGAGGCGGAATGATCGCCTGAGCCCAGTAGGTCGATGCTGGGGTGACCATGAGTGTGCCACTGCACTCCAGCCTGAGACTCCAATCTCCCCCCCAAGAAAGTCATTGTTTTTCAAATTCCTTAAATGTTGTCATAACCAGAGAAAAGTTATTTAATACACAATCAAGTATTCTATTTTTGTCTAGATAAAACCATCAAAATAACTAATCTGAAGTTGCTGAAGTTAATAACTCCTAATATTACTCTCTAATTACCCCAGTGAACTTTGTCTCTACCAGTCGATGTACATACCACACTCTACACTTGTCTGTTATGTTAGAGAAAATATCTATCAGTGTCCACCATAAAACCTGTAGATGAACGAACCCCTTAATATAGCAAATACCTTATATTTTGATGCAGACCAGAAAAATAAGAAGAAAGAACATCTGCAAAGCACACAATGGGGCCCAAATGGTTCCAAGAAAGTCATGGGGTATGCATATACATATAGCACTGTAAGTACCAGAAGTCACATCTTTAGTGGCATCTCACTAGAGACCCAAGGCATAAGGGAAATACAACTATAACTCTACTTTATATGGTCTTCAGGTCAAAATGCCTATTAGACCTCCAGAAGGAGGAATAATTAAAACTAAAACTATGCAGAATGAGCTTTAAGATCAGGAAGAGCTAGTAATATAGCCTATATGTAAATGGTGTTTTGAAGGATATAAAAAAGAAACTACTGTAAATGTCATTTCAAAGTACAGCTTTCTATTAAATAAAAACTCTGAGAAAATCTTTGAAATAAATTCAAACCTCCTCCCCCAAAGTTAACAAACATGATAAACAGACCACGATGAATTCCTAAGCATCACTTTTTCATAATATTCAAAAAAGTTTGTGTGACTAATAAATTTAAATGTTACACCATATATTAGGACCATGAGCCTAAGGGTTCAATAAAATCATTTTCAGAACAAAAAGCAACGTACCATTATGTGTTCAAGTAGAGAATCTATTGCGACTATGTTATCAAAATATGTTCTGCAAAAAAGAAACATAAATCCTGTAAGTAGTCTTATTTAGGTCACAGTAGATATTAAACTTTGAATACAAAAAAATAAAAAATAAACTTTGAATACAATTACTAGTTTTATGTACACTTAAGTAAAAAACATAAAGTCTATATTGTTTGATCTTTGTCCTTTGGTAAAAGCTATCAATAATGCAATATTATTTTAGAGAGAAAAATAAAATGTATCATTGATATTACTAAAGGATTCTAATTCCAATGGATGCATTCAGTAAATTATCTCACTGGTTTGTTATATTTGACTAAAGAATGCAGAAATGAAAGTGGATCTGCCACATTTAACATGCATTAATAACTTTGATCTGGAATTAAAATATTTAAATTTGCTAAATTTCATCAATATGGGTTAAAGTGTAAATTATTGAAAAATTGAAGAAAGTTAATATTTCATTAAACTATATTGAGAAAGTAATGCAACTCATTTGAGAAGTATCAGAAAACAAGTAATGATAAGAATCTAGCGACTTTATATAATTAAAATATATATTCATTATTATAAATGGTAAATAAATGTTTTAGAGGTACATGATACATACATGTAATATAGAGAAAAGATGAAGAAATACTCTTAATGTAGACTCTACTGGCTAGGTAATGCTTTATATAGTGGGCTCAGGTAACTAAAGGGCTTTTTCAGGCCCATACTTCTCTAATTTAATATTGTGAAAAATAAACATAACATGGCCTAGAAACTGAAAATGAATTATTAATGAGGATTACAATACTCGATGGGTAAATTATTAAGTGCTGCCACAATGCCACTAGAAAGATAATGCACATCACAGCTATTGCCGGAGTACAGTTAGATTATCTCTTTAGTAAACCTGTAAGAAGACATGACCCTAAAGTTACCACATCCTGGGGCAATTTTAGATTTCAATGAGTAATCTGATGGATCAGATATATAGACCATCTCCCTTGTAGCAAGTAAAATCAATATAAATTTGGAATTTAATAAAAATCTGTAATTCTTCCACTGCCATCCCAAGGGAGTTTTTCTAGGTCAGGCTTCAGTGAAATGGAACATTTTCTAAATAATGATAATTGAGATACTATGCTTGGGAAATGTAAAATAATAATATTTATAATACCATTTAATGTACTGACATTGTTAGAAAATACCAAAGAGGACTATTTGGAAAAAAATAAACTAGAATATTTTATTTTCTACTGCTGCCAGTATTCTCCTGCAAAGCTAGAGATCCTTAGTATCTTTAACATGTGCTAAGAGAGTTTACTTCAAAAATATACATCAAATTGAAATTTAAGATAATCACATACATAAATGCAATCCTTCAATTACAGAGTGAGCGCAAATGAGGGTTCAACTCTATAGTCCAAAATATGATTAACAATTCCTCCCAGTCTACTTGAATTGCTAGTTAAGATCAATGCTTAGCTATCAACTGTAATAGACAGTAGGCTATCACTGTCTGGGCCTACACTTACCCTAAACCATTAGTCCATAAGAGATACAACACCCCTAGAAATGAACACTTACTTTGACACGTCGAGTAGAAAGTCATTCAATTCTGTCTGTTTGGCAAGACCTCTGCATACCTGCCATATAAAATAATGGCTATATTTATAAGAGATGTCTGATAATTTAAGAATAAAACTTCCAGTATACTTCTTATGCTATTTATTGATAAAGATCTAACAAAATCACTTGGTTTATAATGTAATAATATCAATAACAGTGACACATTAAATACAGAGGGTGCCAAAAAGATATATACACATTTTAAGAAAGAAAAACATGTATTGAAATTGTAATCCTCTATATACCAATAACAAAAGATGAATACATGTCACATTTGGCTTCTGCAGTTACAAGAGATGCTCACAGTGGTTACCATCAGCATCCAGACACTTCTGATTACAACGTACTAAAAGTAACACACAGATAACATCCCTTAAAATGTATACACATTTTTGGCATGGTATTTAATGCACTAAATATTGCTGTAAGCACTTTATACTTACTATCTCATTGAACCATACCAAAACATTGTAAGTTTGAAAGTCACATTTTATAACTGAGGTATAGTGAGGCTAAGAACCTTACTCAGGTTCCAAACATGACAAGTGATAGAGCCAGCATTCAGGTCTATGCCATCCACCCCAGTTTCTCTTTAGAACTTCTTTACAATATACATTAAAAAATTATAGTTGGGCACATATTTCGCCTACACTTGATGATTCAAGAAGTTCTTGCTACTCATACTATTATCCCACAACTCTGTTTTTCTTGTTAACATGCAGCTCCCCTTCAACCAGTTTGCTGAAATGGAATTAGAAAAATAAAACCATCACCAAAAAATGAGAAGATACAAAGCAGTACTATATTACTACCATGTTCCTGCTTAAAGTCTAATTACTAAGAATACTCCAAGTAGTTTTTGATTTTTAAATTAGCTCATATCTTCAAGATAACCAGAATCCTAAAGATAGCAGTAAAGTTTAGAGGTAAATTTAATCTAGATAATGGAAAAATAAAAATATCAATGCAACTCACATTAGGAGATTGTTCCTAGGTTTTCAGTGAAAAACACATACCAGGACATATATTTATTGCATAGATTATATATGTGTGCATAAACACACACACACACACACACATACACACATACACACACACACACACACACACACACCCCATATCACAAGATACTTAAGACAGGGAGTAAGTAAATACACATAAGTGATTAAATAAATGAAAATGTTTAGAAATAACAAAATATTCTAGTATCCACAAGTAAAGCATTAGGTGACTTATTAACTTCTGCTCTAGTCCCCAATGCAGCATTCCATGTGACTCTTCTCCTGTAAAAGCATCCCAAAGACTCACCTGCACCTGATGTATTGCTACTGAAGCCCAGGCAAGGTTTGCTGTTGCAACCTAAAGCAAAAAAATAAATAAACAGATAAAAAATACAAATGCATACATATGAAACAAGTTTCTATTAGTCATACGTAGGCATTCTAACAAAGAACTCTAGCATAAATGTATATGAAGAATTTTCTGAGTTTTTTTTTTACTATTTTGAGAAACATACAGCTCCAAGTATTTACAAGGTTTCTCTTCTACATTACATTTAGTTGAGTTTAATGCTCTCTTGTTCATCTTAATTTTGTATAAAAAGAAAGATAAACTGCTTGCTAAGAGAGCTGCAACTATTATTTCAACTTAAAATCATTATTTTTCAGTTTAACAATACTATTAAAAAGACCTCTAGTGACCACTTTACAATAATGAACTTTCTAAAAAGTGAAAATCTTGTCTATCTACTAGCCGGTGAATATCTCAAATTACTATCCATTCTACTCCTTTAATTTACTCATTGAACAAGTATTTACTGGGTGCCTGTTAAGTACCAGGCACTATTCTAGGTGCAGGATACATCACAGCGAACAACAAGAAAAATGGAACAGCTTCAGTGTACTGCTAGGAGAGAAAGACAAGAAAGACAGTAAGTGCAGTGTGTAGACTTTAGATGGTGACCGACACTACAGAGAGGAAGAGGCAGTAAGGGCAAGGAAGACTGGCCAGAAGACAGGCAGATGTATGCAACTGCTCAGGAAGGCCTCCTAGAGAGGCAGCTCTTGAGGAAAGTCCTGAAGGAGGTAGCTGTGAGGGGGCAAGGCAAGGGCACCCCAAGCAGAGGAAAGAACACACAGAAAGGTCCAAGCCATAGCCTACCAGTCTGCCCAAGGGTCCAGTGTGGCTGGAGGGAGGGAGGGACGCAGGAGTAGGAAGACACAAGTCCACTCAGACAAGTGGACAGAGCTTAGGCCACTGCAGGGACTGGGTTCACACTGAGTGTGATACATACAGCATTTTAACATGTGATTTTAGTATCAATAAGGCAACTCCAGTTCAGCAAATAGAGACTGGAACTCATTGTTTTCCAAATATATTTGACACTAGAACCTTTTTTCAGGACACAATCTAGGAAGAAGACATTTTTTAAGAAGACATAAAGACAGCCAGAATGTGAAAACTCTCCAAAGTCAGAGAGAATGACATACATTTCATTGCTGTTTTGGATTCTTATTTTTTTAAAAAACTATATTTCTAATGTTTGCAATCTAAACAAAAACAAAACCACACTTTGAAATCATTAGTACTGTTAGCAAAACACTGCTAAGAAAACTGTGGTTTTAAATATTCATCCATGTATTCACTTAGCAATATTAATGAGCACCTTCACTGAGCTAGGTCCAACTAAAAAGTCTAACAGGCCATGTTTTAGATCTCACCTCCTGATGACTGAGACAGAAGGCTTCTTTGCCCCAGTGCCGATACAGCTCAAGAATGCCAATCAAATCACCAATGGCAGTGACAATGGGTAAGCAAAGAACAGACTGGATACGAGTCCCTGATTCCAGCCCAGTACCTCTGGGAAAGCGTTCATCCTAAAAAATAAAAGGAGAAAAGATATATATTCAGTGAAATAATCATTAAGTTATGATTCTTATTTCTGTCAGAGATTGTCATGATACTTGTAATCAATAAAAAGCACTACTTCTCAAAGGAAAACCAAATTCTGGCAGTCACCATAAATCTTGTTTAAGAATTAATAAAACGCTTACTTTTAGCAACATGGAACTTATACATCAATACTGCTTTAACGTATTTGTTTATCCTTGTATGGTGTAAATCTAATGAATGAATGATGCATGTTAATTTCATATAATAATTAATGCTGACATTCATTTATTACCTTCTGTGTTCCAGAACTGTCCTAGGGTCTTTATGGGTATAATGTCACAGTGAAAATTATTCCAAATGTAAACACCATATGAAGAAATTATATATGAACATTATTCTCTTTTAATTTTAAGGTTAGACTAACATAAAAGTATATGTTAATAACAGCAATTCTTACTGAATCTCAAAGTCACATGTATTTAAATCATCTAATTATTATCATTTATTATCATAAGAAATGAAATTGGTTCTTTGACTTTAATAATTTTCTAGCTTAGCAAAATCATTCAAAGGAAGTGTAGGAAAATAGAATTAATATCAAGCACCATTTCTATTTATTGAATATCTGCTGTAGGAAGCTATCAGGCATGAATTAGAATTTTTCATAAATCAAGAATGGTATAAATATATACTTGTAATTTACAGATCTTTTGAAAGCTTGCATACACAATAGAACATTTTCCAACAAGAACTTATATAGCACATGCTTTTAACGCCTGCTCTGTTTTGCTTGTTTCCTTCCTTCCTCCCTCCTCCCTATTAGTTATCCAATTTATTCAAGGTCATAAAGATAATTGATGGAAAAAAACAAAATTAAAACCCAGGTTTCATGACTACAATTTAGCTCTTTTTCAACAGAAATATTTATACTTATATACTCGTTTGTCCTCATAACTTTTAAGGTCTATGTGCCATGTAGTGACATTTCATTAAAATGACATGTGCTGTGGAAGACTGGACTGAGGGCTCCACATTGCTTTGACTCGATATCCACATCCTTTGTTCCCTGTGATGCAGAGTCTGGGCCTGCCCAGGTGATTTGCTCTGGCTAATGGTGGGAGTGTAGTACATTTGATGTGAGTGGAGGCTTGAAAACTCACTTGTTTCCTGCTTCTTCTCTTGGACTCCTGCTCCCATCACAGGAACATGCCAGGCTAGACGTACAGAAGAGGGTGAGAGACCCGTGAAGAGCTGAGGCCGTAAGAGACCAGCTAGCACTTAACTGATGGCCAGCTGACCTCAGACTCTTGAGCAAGTACAACTGACTGCAGCCCAGATCGGCAGAATGGCCCAGTCCTTAGACTCTTAAGAACTAACAATACATGGCTGTGGTATGACACACTAAAATTTTAGATAGTTTTCATACGGCAATAGCATCCTAGCAGAATATGAAACACAAAACAGTAATCATTTAATTTACTGGGCTGGGTGTGGTCACCCATGCCTGTAATCCTAGCATTTTGGAAGGCCGAGGAAGGAGAATTGCTTGAGTCCAGAAGTTCAAGACCAGCCTGGGCAACATGCAATACGTCATCTCCACAAAAAATCAAAACATTAGCTGGGTGTGGTTGTGAGTACCTGTAGTCTCAGCTACTTGGGAGACTGAGGCAGGAGGATTGCCTCAGCCCAGGAGGTTGAGGCTGTGGTGAGCCATGATCTCATCATGATCTGAGCCATGATCAGCCCACTGCACTCCAGCCTGGGTGACAGAGAACCAGACTCAAAAAAAAAAAAAAAAAAAAAATGTACTAAATTAAGTACATACAGTGTTACTGTGTTTAGTCATACTGGCATGTGCTGAAATAAGAACTACTCTAATGTGGCTTTTAGTGGGTATACAGATTTTCTGAGTACAAAAAATGACATACAGATTGATATTACATTTATGGATCTGTTTCTTCCTTTAATGTCTTTATGTTTTACGAACTGCTTAAATCAGAATATCAAAATAGCATGCCACTTTCCCAAATAAATACATTAGATTAAAAGTGTCATAAATAGTCAAAAGTCATTTACCCCAAGGATGTCTTTTACTAGCAATGTTTTTCTGGACTTGGCCACATAAGCAGAGACAGTAGTGCCCTGAGTGATGGGGCCTGCAGGGATGAGTCGAGGTTTTCCTTCCTTTATTCCAGGAGGTGTGAACACACACAGACTCTAGGAAGAAGAAAAGAATGTCTTATAGGCTTCCCTGCACATTTGCACAGCACAAACAGACATCTGGATTTTACTTAATAGGCACAATAAATCTGTGAGTCAATTAGAAGAAGAAACACAAAGTGAGAAAAAGTGCTTTTCAATGATCAAACCAGAATATCTGAGGTGAAACTGTCTTTCTTACTTCCAATTCACATAAAATATAGATAAGAAGTAAAACTTAAATTCATGTCCATCTACAGGAAAAATATTAAAATAACCCCGTTTTGACACATAGACAATAATAAAATGTGAAAAAAACGTATCCTGTCATCATTGGGCTCCAGATTCTCCCAGACATAAACAAACACTGGGCCCTAAATCCCTGTAGACTTGACATGCTATCTGAAGATACAATTGGCAGTTGTAAGTTAAGTGATTTGGTTTCGTTTTCATTTTCATTAAAAATATTTCCTTCTCAGAGCATTATTTGTCTTTTGAAGACTCATTCATATTGCTTAAACTGAACTTAGATTCAGAATACTCTAGATGAATATTTGTGCTCCTCTGTCCAAATATCTTGGCAAATCTGGGTGATCTTTCCTTTTCAAATGACTGGGTGGGAGTGTAACACTCTGAAACTATTTTAAAATAAATCTGTATTTAAAAATATGATCCATTATATTTATTAAATTCAATCATACTTTTAAATTACTCTCTACTAAGTAAAAAAAGTTACTCAAAACAAATAATTTAGAGATTGACCCAATATTTTGACATAATTATATCATGATTATCACACAATTTGAAAAACATTAAGGTTCAGGTAAATTTTCCACAGATTTCACTTTATTTTTATCTTAATTTGAATTGTATAACAAAGAATAAAGTCCTTTTGAAGTAGTATTAGACAATTCTCTTAAACTAAATATGTTCCTATTAATATTTGCTATTACTAAAGTACTTTTGAGGATGAGAAAGATGTATGTATTAAATTCTAACATAAATGTTTTCAAGCTTTGTAAAATCCAAGAACTGTTTCTTTAAATGTAACAATTAAAAGAGAATGAACTCCATAAACTTGAGCTCCTTGGCTCAACATGGAGAAGGAAAAAGGAAAGCAAAGCTTTGGCTTATTCTTGGATGCTTTAAATAAACTACAATTATAAAATATTATAAGCTAAGTTCAAAATACTTATAGTTCCAAATATATTTACCTAGTTAGGATTGTGCTTAAGTATTATTTTCTATTAAGCACAACACATGTGAAAAATATATTTTAAGTGATTCTTTGGAAAAGAATTAAGTTTATTATGATTAAATACAAGGTATACACTTATAGATAATAAATCACATACATATAAGATGATAACAGTTTCATCTTACTTATTTTTAAAAAGGCTAGAAATCAGTGTGATGGTTTTTAAAGTTACTATAATTCTATTACACACCAATATAGACAGAGCATAGAAGTAACACAATCATTAGATTTAGTGTCTGTCACTGTCCAAACAGAATTCAGCAGGTCACCCTTTCTTAAGACCGAAAGAAGAATAGAAAATGGATTCAAGAACAAGAAGAAGAGATGACTGCAAGAAAAAGTTAAGGGATATGGCATATGTAGCCCAAAGAAAAATTATAATTGACAATGATTTTCTCAAATTATAAGAAAGTAAATCATAAGAACACCGAGCAACTGTTTCTTTCTCTACCAAAGACAAAACTGAACTGACTGGCTGAGAAGAACATCGTAAAGAACATCCCAAAACAATAATAAAAAGACATCTCTGGAGCAAGCTTCCATTAGTAGCTTTGGATTTTTCTTTTGCCATAGTTGTTGGCTGCATTTGTTTGTTTCTTTGAAGATATGCAACGCACATCTTGTTTAGATGACTTAGCCAGAGGCCCTTCAAGGCTGAATTTAATTAACCTTCAAATTATACTTAGCTTCACGTTATACTCATTACTCAATCATGATAGAGTATCTGCTTCATTCCTATATTATTCATAGGATGATCATTTATTTAATATTATAAAAATTTTATTCTATATGATATACAAGAAACAGATAGATACTGCACCCAGGGCAGATGGAAAGCTATTCCATTTACTAGACTTGCTGAAAATAATTAGAAGAAGAACCACAAGGTGAGAAAAAGTGCTTTTCAATGATCAAACCAGAAGGTTTAGAAGTCTTTCAATTACTTGCTAGAATATAAAAAACTACAGTTAGAACAAAGGAAAAGATTCAAAGCTTCAAGGCTCCACCAGCTCTATTCTTTCCAGAAGAAAGTAACGGCTTTTTTAGGGTATCGACTTGGCAAATGGCTACTGGGGCTCCTCTTAAGTCTCTGAGAGCTCCACAGGTGATGTAACTAGCCCCTCCTCCTCCGGACTAGTATAGATGAGACCGCCCAAGGAGCAGGAAATACACTCAGAGGCCAAGAATTCCTAAGAGAGGAATTCACGTTTTCAATTTCTCAGAAAAACTCATTATAAACCAGCCAATATTTTTGTGGTAGTAGCACATTTTCGTATATATTTCTAAAGTTAAATAATTTAAACTAGAAAAAAATGGTAGCAGTAATTCATAGTTCAATGAAGAAATTTTGAAAGCACTTAAATTATAAAAAAGCAAGTTTGAAGAAGTAAATAGATTTGATGGCAATAAACAAGAGAATAGACTAATACAATTTATAAAACACCATTTAGGAAAACCTCATTTAGTGATGTCAACCAAATAGATAAGTTTATTTGGTAAATACATGCTCTCATCTTTATTTCCATACACAACTCAAAGATTACCTTATTCAACAAACTTCATTTTAATGTTAAGACTTCAACTCAAAACCAGCTAAATTTTAGAAATATTTTTTAAGAGGTACAAATTTATTTAGGTTTACTAACAGGTTATTATCCTTATGAGACACTAGATGGCACAGCAGAGTAAACAAATTTATATCCATGTGGATGGGCGTGAACTCCTCATTCACCTGAAACTTGAAATGTATATGACTAACTTTGAATAATTCTTAAAAATAAATCTTCTAGAGTTCATTATGCGAAATGAAAACAGCCAAACTACTTACTGTAAATACAAAGAATGCAATATTTCTGGTGACAGTGAAAGCTATACATATCAAAGCTAAAAATTAGATGCTTCCGCTCTTCCGGTTTTCCCAATGTGTACCCCAAGAAACAAACCTGAAAAATATTCTTCCCAGTTCGTGGGCAATAAAAAATCAAGCAATAACAAGGGGGGGGGGGGTATCTAAGCCCTTCAAAGAGACAGTGTAATAAGGTAGAAAGCACATTGCTGCTATTCTTTGTAGAAAGCACAAAAACTGAAAAGGGAGCTTGTGGAATCAGACATCAGTAAAAGCTTTGCTTTCTGACTACCTGGGCACACTTGGACAGTCCTCTAAACACTCCAGAACTTTGTTACCTCATCATTAGCACTAATTAAGATTAGAGACTTTTAAAGCGCCCCTTTTAGCTTTAACATTTTTTGAATCTAGGGATTCTATAGCTATCTAGTTGCTCATGTTACAAATAAAATCAAAATAACAGACAACTGCTTAACTAAGCTAACTTATAAAACCTGTATCTATGGAAAGATTATTTTAAAAATAACCAATATATAAAAAATTAACAATAAACTTATATTTTAATTAACATTTTTAAGGTATAATTAAAGTACATAAGGTTTCCAGCTTTTAAAAACAATTCTTACAGAAAACGCTAGAAAAACTATAATGATAATATTATGAAGTATGTTATACGTCAATAGGAATATATGACTAAATATAGTTGCAAAACATTAAAAGTTGATTTAAGCAAAATTTAATCATGGAAAGATTATTTTTGCCCAGCATCTCAAGAGTTCCTTGCATAGGTCAGATATTGCTATGGGTCAGGATACAATACATACTGTGCCCTTTGCTAGCTCCAGATTTCTCACACATTGCTTCTTCTGCTTAAAAGAAGTCCTTTATTTCTCTTTTCATCTTCTAGGTGAAAGGTCTTTAAATCCCCACTCAAATATTAGCTCATCATCCAATCTGTTTTTCCGTGATCTCATCTGATCTAATTTATGACCCCACAGCATGGGATCCTCTCTGTTAGCACCTGAGACCATGCCTATAACTAACTGTTGATCTAAATCTCTCCCTTCTCTGTATATTATTTGATGTAAGGAATTATTTTTTGTCTTTATGTGCTCAGCAATTTTGTACAGTTTTTTGGTACTTACCAGGTGTCTAAAAAGATTTGTTGAATGAACTGCATTTGTGATGTAACATTTAACCAGTGGAGGGTAAATTACAATTTAGAAATTTTCAAAATCGTGGTGAAATCAAACAATCATTAAGTGCTGAAACAAAACTCACACAATCCAACTCTAGAACCAAAAGGCTTCCAAAGGTAAACTATTTACTGGGGCATTTTCCGTCCTTCCCCAAGTTCTGAAACAGTGAACTTAGTGCAGGAATTGTCCTGCCTAAAGGACTGCCCCAGTAGCAAACGAATAGTGTAGATATAGGGCTCTGCCTCTGTGGTTGTTCACTGAGGCCCAGGTTTTGCCTGGTGCCTGGCCATGGCTAGTGCTCCGATAGTTTGCTAAAAAATATTCTACTGGTTCATACTTTAACACGGTTTCCAATTTGTTCCTTGGGTACTGAACTGTTATTTTTGTTTTCATCATTTGCATTAAATGGTTTCATTTATATTTTTCCTTGAAAACTTTCCATGTCAGGTTTTCTATTATCATTTGCATTAAATGGATGAATTTATATATTCCTCGACACCTTTCCATTGTGTCTAGTGTTTCACATTTATTAGTATAAATATTCCCTCATAATTTTTCATTTTCACTATATCTGTTGCTAACTTCCTTTTAAATTATTAAACATATATAGTTATGTTTCTCTCCTTTCAATTAATTTAGTAATTGATTTATCTGTATTATCTTTAGATCTCCTCACTCACACAAATTTCCTTTTTTTCCCTTCATAGATTAAATC